AGACAGCAGTGACTTGAATGTCCGAAAAACGTCGCCTTGCACAAAATATTAATGAATGCCATGTCAGTTTCAGAAGTAAATTTCATAGCGTAGCTTCCTTAATCACTTGCATTGCTGTTTTAAGGAGAGCTATTTTCGCTCGTCGGCCTTTATCAAAAGTAAGAATTTAAATGGAATGTTTTATTCACAGGATGAGGGTCAGCGAGGTCGACTCGGTGCAGCGATGGTTGGAAGATTTGCGTGGTATGACGGAGACAGAATGTATGTGTATATTACAAGGAAAGTCAATCTCAGGAGCAGTTAAGGAAGGAGTTAAAACAAAACAGATTCACTCAATAAAAGGTATGAATAAGTCGCTTGTATATTTCATTTGTAGTAATTCATGTATGTTGAGCACTGTAACGCTGACATGTCTTGATATTTGCTGTTTGGTACAAGTAGGTTATCATGAAACTAGTGTTGTGTGTAATGGATAAAGGCAGTACGGTGATCATATCGCCCAAAGTGTAGTAGCTTACAGCAAGTCTCAGAAGTATTGGGGCAGCCAATTTGCAAACTGCTAGTGAATTAGATAACTGCTTTAGTTTTGACTGAATAGTTGGCTTTCGAAATTTCGCTGGTGCCGTCCTGTGATCACGCCCACTCTGGGTGAATCTATATAACAGTAGGGGACGGTCATCGTACTTTAGTTGGATGGCGATTACGCTTTCAAAAATGTGTAATGAGGTGTCCGTGCAAAAACGATGAATGCCGTCAAATTTTATTAGCGGTTGGTTTAATGTTTCCCCAACGAATCGTTTATTTTCTCCCTGATTTGTAGGAAACTGTTTCTCAGCTTGGCTACCTCCGCTACCCCCATATAGTAAATATTGGTAGATTAATCGCATTTATCATATTATCACTTGTACACCAGCTGACTGTGGCCATTCTCAGGCTGACCAGGGAAACTACTAGTAATTTCACATTATCACGCCTCGCAAGGCCAATCATTCAGGGGAATCCAGACATGTACCAGGCTATGTAAAAGCATTCTATGTTCCCTAATGCAATATAGACTCGTCCACAGTGGACATGACCACGAGTCGGCACCAGCGAGATTCGATTAGCCAATTCGCTAGCAAGTTTGCAAATTGGCTGCCCCAATACTTTTGAGTGACACATTATTTTGTACTGTTCGCATGACATATATATTAATAAAAGTTTTGTGAAAGATATCTGCCAACAATGAATTCTGCATATTTGAAGATTTACTATATATGACAGAAAGAATCTGACACTTTCAAAGGCGTATGTGACACTTTCAAAGGCATCCATAACTCCTTTGAAGACGTGCATAACTCCTTCAAAAAAGTCTGTAACACTTTTAAAGATGTTCGTAACACTTTCGTAGATGTACGTAACACTTTTGAAGACAAACACAATGCTTTCGAGGACATACATAACACTTTCAAAGATGTTCATAACACTTTTAAAGACATCCATAACACTTTCAAATAAGTCTGTTCAGGGTTTTACTAATGGCTGAATTCTATTGGTTTTGTTGCCAGATGTACAATAATAATGTGTATTTAATTTTTTCAGATAAACTACAATACCTCAGGCATCGGGCTAGTGCAATAAATGCTAAGTTTGCGAACACATATCAGTAAGTATGTAAATAAATAATTCTGGAATTGTGGAAGGCATCGTCTGAAGACCGGTTTACACAATCAGATTTATCGGACAACATTTTTGATTAACCTGATGCGAAAATAGATGTTTATACTGCAGATTTATTTGACTGTAAATCAGCCTTCATTATATATGCAAGAAAGTTTGATGGACTGTTTTACTTAAAGCAGGAGTGTCGTCACCTGCGCACGCGCGGGAATTGAGTACCAAGCGATGATAACAACACTTGCTAAAAACGCAAAGGCTCATGGGTAGACGCTTGTTTGTAAACAACGACACGCTATGGCCATGTGACGCATGCACGGGAGACGACTCCCCCGCTTCAAGCCGTATTACACATATATATTTCATATATGTGCAATACTTTCCCGTGTCAGTGGTTTTCATTCATCGACCGACGATGACGTCATAATTGTATGCTTGATAGAAACGTAGGTGGAGAAAAAGATTGCAACTCGTTTAGAACCGCTTTAATACTATTATCTCAATCATTTTCAAGAAGGCATTGCTTATATAAAAACAGCAATCAAAACTCAATTGAACCAATAACAATGAACCCCAATGGTATTTAAATGGTCGTTTTGATTTTTTCTTATAATTTATATGATAATTTAATGAATGATAATTTAACATTCGTTACCAAACTGTAGTGACAATAATAAATACATGTTTACTAAATATAATAATTTGAAGTGTTCAATAAATTTGATGGAATCTGATCAGTAATTGAATTACAGACTTGTGGTAAAATCTTTGAATGTCAAAGTCAACGTTTGTCACCATTTACAACTTGAATGTATAAAATTGTGTTTTTTTCAAACTTGATCAATTCAGTGCAAAATTAAATACATAAAATTGTTCAAAATGTTGAAGTAAAATTTTAACAGAAAAAATCGTGAAATTATATATGGCATAGGAAATCTTGTTTTTTTTATTTTATGTTCATGAAAGGCAACACAGATGTTTAAAATAAATTGGATAAAACAACCTCAGTTGGTGTTGTCCGTCGCCGTCCGTGTCAACTTGTTACTTTTTAAACTTGTTCTAGAAAACATGAAACCTTATTGCTTTGATACTTGGTGTATATGTACCTTTGGCAGACCTCTCTTAGATTTGTTCATTTTGTGATATCTTTAATTCTCTAATTTTGATGAATATTTTTTGTAAAAAGTGATATTTTGGACTTCTTGTTAAAAACTACAAGTGTGATTGCTTTCAATTTGATACTATACATATAGGTACTACAGGTGGACCTCTCTCAGATTTGTTCATTTTCTAATGATATATTTAGTTCTTTAATTGAAATGTGCATTGCTAACAGCGGATCTATCTCAGCTGAGAGGCTGCTTGTTTAAAATTCACTGCCATAAAATCTTCATTCCTTCTTGAAAACAATTTGTCGTTGAATACATGATATACAATATCAAGGATCTATAAGATGCAAGGGTATGCAATGGGTGTGATATGCAATGAGAATCTCACGAGAAACTAAATTACAAATTTCTGTGAAAGAATTGGTAATAAGTGTTCACCTCGAACAGTTTTTCCCCTGTCTTTGCTTCACAAAACATGTATTACTTGTGTTTATGTGTGTACATGTATTTTCAGATAATCTTACTTCTGTTGACACTGTCAAAATATTTTGAGTATCCACTGAGATAATGATATCTTGTGAGATCTCACCATACATGTACATATATATCATAGTTGTATACCCCTATTAGTCCCTGTTCGGACCCAGTCCGAAAACGGGGACTTATGTTTTGACCTTCGTGCGTTTGTGCGTCCGTGCTTCCGTGTGTGCGTCCAGACCTGTATCTGGACCAATCATAATCAAACTTCACACATACATCATACATGATATTATACATATGCACATCAATTTGTTCCATGATCTGATTCAAGATGGTCGAATGGTGGCCATTTTTGTTCTAAAAATCATCAAAATCAAGCATTTCTCGGCTGTTTACAAATGGATTTTGTTCAAACTTGGTATATACGTTGAACATCATAGAACCTTAATGCACATCATTTTGTTTTCAGATAAGATTCAAAATGACCGACTGGTGTTTTAATAAATGTGGTTATAGTGCCATATCTCTGACTTGATGTGACTGATTATGTTCAAATTTTAAATATTCATTATACATCATGTCATAGATATACAGGTATATTGGTTTGACGATCCTATTAAAAATGGCCGAATAGTGGCCATTTTTGTGCTAAAAAATCATCAAATTTATATCAAGCATTTCTGGCATTTATGGATGGATTTTGTTCAAACTTGGAACATACATTAGACATTACGGGTTCCTGATGCACATTATTTTATTTTTTAGATCAGATTCAGAATGGCTGACTAGTGGCCATTTTGTTTTAATAAATGGGCTTCTAGAACCATATCTCTGACATGCTTTGACTGACTTTGTTCAAATTTTATATATCCATTATACATGTATTCAAAATGACTGATTTTGTTTTAATTAATGCTGTTCCAGAGCAATATCTCACAATACTTGTTTGACGATCAGATACAAATGTTGATCATTTAAATGTTAAACAATCATCATAATCATATTCCTGATATGTTTATATTCCAGCTATATTACTATAAACAAAACTATATATCTTAAA